GGAAAGATATTAGGGTTTGGCGGCTAATATAGGCGCGAAGACGGGGAAGAAGCATGTGACGGAGACAGAGAGAGAGAGAGAGAGAGAGGTCGTTGTAGTGGTTGTCCGCTTAATTGGTGGGAAATTGGGAATTTTCAAAAGCAACAAAAGACAGACTTCAACTTGATTTGGTCAGGCCACTGTCGCAAATGCCATAAACCTTTTTGTCTGTCAACGTCAACAATACAAGAGGAAAAACCTTGGCTGCGCCGTACCTGGTCACTGCTCAGGCCGCTTTTACAAATGCCAGAGCCTGTTCGGTGCCTATTAGTAGTTGTACTTACATTAGTAGACGTCTGAGGAGAGTAAATAGTAGTAATGATTCTTTAATTAAAAATTTGTTACCATTGATCTATTAACTCATCAAAACGTGCAGTTATACTCCCTCAACTAACAATGCATTATCAATGGTCCCTCAACTTTAATCTAACTGGAGAAATGAGCCCTCAACTTTAATCTAATTGGAGAAATGATTCCTCAACTTTAACATAATTAGAGCAATGGTCCTTCCAACATAACTCATTTTGACAAAATTCTGACGAAGTTGACAAAAATGATCATAGTTACACGTTTTGATGAGTTGAAGGACCATTGCTACAATTTACTACTTTTTCCCCTCCCCTTCCCTCCCCTCCTATTTGACAGTCACGGTTAACCGGCGTCAACATCTTATATTAATTTTATATTAAAAGAGAAAGACAAAATAGAAATATGTAGATAAATGGTGGGAAAGGGATGAAAACAGAAGATGAGAGAATTCTAGTCCATTTTATAAGATATCTGACCACATCATCTGTCACACACCTCTCACAAACATATCACTTTATAATATAATTAAGTCTCGTCCAATCTTGTGCTGCTCTCACGCGTAGTTAAACATGTTTACCCTTGCATTCGAGTTTTTGTATTTGGTTCCCTTTCTCAATATCAATTGTATAAAAAGAAAATTAGAATTTGTAACTTTCAAGCCAAAACTTTATAGTGACTCTTCCGGAACACGGCTTGAAAATGAGGTGTCCAACAGAGAATCAATTTTCACACCTGTTCTCTTCGATTGAAAGCCACAATAAAGTAAGAAACCATTGATACAGATGTTTCCTTGTCCGGTTTTCCCCACGAGGAATTTTCAACATCTGCATCTGCCCCAGAGTGTTCTTGTGAAAACACCATTATCTGGATCGAGTGGCATTACTGTTCAGTCTGCCTTGTAATCCACCAAATTGTAAACGAAGTAGCTTTGATTTCCTTCTGTTTCTGCAATCTCTGTCGTATGAGCATAACATGGTTACAAAGAACGTAAATCAAATAAGGCGAGTAAAAGGGACCCCCAATATCGAAAACTAGCAGGAGCAAAAAAAACTCTTTCACCTGCAACTTTGTCTCCCAACCGTTTTTGTTGCATCTGTAAGTTTTGTCTTTTGAACAAGCTTGGGGATGCCTTGGTCACTTTGCTTTGATCCAAATATGATCCCCATCCGGCTTGAAATTCTTCCTATCGCCTTTGAGATTTTTGAAGGGCTTTAGACTTCCAATCTTCCATAATATCTGGATGTCCGAAATCACATTCTGTATATTTATGCCTTCAAAGCAAGTCTTCTGTTCCTGTTAACTTTGCAAATTCACTTTTGTTGATAGCCCCCTTTTTGAGCTTCTTTAGCAAGCGGTATTCTCTTGCCAACTCATCTTCATCTTCAGCTGTCTGGATAGCACGTCTCTGCTTACCTGTTTTCTTCCTCATTGCAGCATCTGAAGCATTTGGGATCTTTTTGGTTTTTTTGATGTTTTGATTCTTGCTGTTTTGCTTCTTTCCTCACTTGTAGATTCTTCTTTCTTTGTTTCTCGCGAGATTTATCCCTTTATAATAAAAAAATTTCCTTTAGCAACGGTACATAATGCCTCAATGTCATACAAACAAAGAGTAAATGATTGAAGGGAGTTCTTACTTAAATTTGATCTCCTCCAAGTTGATCTCTTCAACAGGGATGAAACCCTCTGTGGAAAGCGAGTGGTGCTTTACCTCAGGCATTGCAGGGAGCTGCAGTAGTCCAAATCCCATGCCCAATTTCCCGACTTCAAGTTCTTTCCACCTGCATTAAAAATGTAAATTAGAGAACAAAATTATTTTTTTCCTTGGCCTGAATATAGTACAAGGCGCTGTTAACCTGAAAATGTAAGAGTAGTGATGTTCTTTATATGCACGCATGTAAGAAACAAATGCTCTCAGTCCTTTTTCCATGACATCACGGTCCTTTTTTGCGGCTGATTGAATCTGAAACAAAGTTTAAAAACGATGTCAAACTTCAAACTACTAAAAAATATCATCAAAATATTCAGAAAAATAACCTATCACTAAAATATATTGGCCAAAAACTTTGACAACAAGAGAGAACACCATAAAACTAAACCGTATTTGCAAGACGACAGCATGATGGATAAAACTGATTTAATGGGTAGCATTGAAATACATGGGTAATGACATCAATCTGCTTTTACATACAGATGCTAGCATCTTTGGACACATTGTCGAACAATGTTCACAGAGTAAAACAACGCATGAATGCATTTAGAACAGTTGTAACGAGGAATAAAATTTAGAAAATTCTTTTATCCACAATAAAATTAGCTAAAGGGTACCATAAAATGATGCTTACCTGAGGAACAACATCAGTAACTTCATCAGAACATTTCCTTTCTTGTAGAGGAACTCTTCTTATCCGTAAGAATTCTACATAAGCTTCCTCCTGCAACAGTGAGACGAAAGAAAAGGACCTTCAATATCATAGTGAAAGCAACATGAAAATAAGAAAAGAAAAAATGAGTTAAACTAGAGCTGTAGGACAGTTTCGTACACAAAGAAAGAATTATGACACTTATGGATGCTATAACTAAACCTTTGGCAATAAAAAAACGATTGCGCTTCCTTGTCTACCCATACGAGCTGTTCGGCCTACTCTATGCATAAAAACATTTGGATCTTGAGGGGTATCATACTGCAATAACAACAAATAAATGAATTATACTATTTGGCCTTCAAAACTGGTGATGACCGTCGACATGCTATTGTAATAAGCTACCTGCACTATACAGTCAACGCCTGGAATGTCGAGCCCACGCGCAGCAACATCAGTACATAAAAGGACACTACTTGAGAGAGATGTAAATGAGGCTAAAGCTTTGTCCCTTGCGGCCTAGAAAATTCAAAATTTTGAAAAAGCAAAGAATGATGAGTTCATGAAATACCAACTCAAAGATTGACGCTGATCTGTAATGTTTTACCTGTTTCATCTTCCCATGTAGAGCAATCAAAGGGAAACCCTTAAAGGGACCAAGCATTGGAAGAACAAGTCCCCAGTAGTCAACACAAGCACAAGTCATGAAGTATCTACAAAAGAAAGCACAGAAAAATACGAGAATCACTTTGCAAAGCAAAACAACTTTTAACCTCGAAAGTTATTCGACCACATTCACTAAAACATACTAATCTCAAGTTACTCACACTATAGTTTGTTAGACTTATTCTTAACAAGAAGATCCACAAGCTGCGATGGTTTCTTGTCCACCTCACACTCCAGATACTGTATGTAGAGTGCACAGTCAAAGGCAGAAATAATTCAACAATCGAGAAGCTAGACATTATGAACTAATTAATATTTGTTGATGTTATGTTGTAGAGCATACCTCAAGGGCAAGGCCAGAAGGTGTTTTGGAAGAGGCTAATTGTTTCCTTAACGCCGAATCATTCAATTTTGTTTCAGCTCGGACTTCTACCCTCACAGGATTCCTTAGTCCTGCTCTAGCCAGTTCCTCAACTGCCTCAGTTTGAGTAGCTGAAAAGAGACCAGTTCTTCAAAGCTTAGGTAATCGAGACATAATATCATTTATCTGCTTCTGGAATCCCATATCCAATAGCCTATCAGCCTCATCTAAAATCAAAATCTGCAACAATTGTCGACGAAATGACCCTCTGTCAGCCTCATATACAATCAAATTCCATGAAACAAATTTCAATCAAAACCTAAAAAAACAAAATTTCAACCTAATCCTATCAAATGCAACTCCATTTACAAATGCATTACTTCAAGGTTCCGCAAATCCAAGCCATCAATGCGTTCCATAATGTCGAATAGTCTTCCCGGTAGTGCCGATCAACAAGTTGGCTCCTTCCTCCTCAATTTGTTTCATGTCTGATTTCACTTGCCCTCCGCCAACCAAAAGCACACACTTGATATTCGGCAGCGTCGAAATGAAGGGTTTCGCGACATTTTATATTTGCGAAGCCAGCTCCCTAGTCGGAGATATAATCATTCCCATCACCTGCACAAGCACAAAATTTTCTTTTCTTCCTGTTTCTCTTCCATTTTCTCGGCAACCAAACATTGTCCAGCAAGTAAAATTTTTCATTTCTTGGCGACCAGACAGTGTCTAGCAAGTGAAACGAAAGAGAAATAATTAATGGTGTGAAGCAGACCTCTTGGTGTGAAGCAGACCTTGGGTTTGGAGTGGTTGAAGCTCGCCGGAGTATGTCCACCATCGGGACCACGAATGCTAGGGTTTTGCCTGAGCCGGTGGCGGCGTCCACCGCCACGTCCTTGAAGCTGCATAGTAAGGGGATTGCGGCGGCTTGAACCGGAGTGCAGAACTCGAACCCGCCTTAGGACAGGGCTTCCAGAACCGGTTCGGAGAGCGGCGGCTTCAGGTCGGAGAAGCAGGTGTCGCTCAAGGCACTGTTTCAGTTGGAAAAGTCGGCGTCCATGGCTTTCTGTTTTTCTTCGCGGTTCGCACCGTTAGGCTTTCGGCAGTATAAAGGTTTCTCCTATATTCCAACGACCTGTCGTTTTAGGGTGGGCATCAAAACGCCTAACCGGGCGATCCAAATTGTCACGTGCGGTTTGGTTCGGCCCAACTTTGGTTCAAATAAAATGTGATACATATCCAAACCGGGCCGTGCGAACCATGTCGTTTGGTTGAAGGTAATTCCACGAGGAATGTCGGTTTTTGTCGTAAGTGAAGACTGATGTTTTCATGCTTCAGAGCACCAAGAATCTCAGCGCCATTGATGAGATTGTAAGCGAGTTTCTGTGAGCTCGGTGGCCAGCAATGGAAGTCCGACTCGGTTTTCTGATATCGGTTACGGTCATCTTAACGATTATGGACCGATTTAACTCGGTCTCCGCTAGCTGCCATTTCAGTGTCGTCGACGATGACAAGCTCTATAACTACACTTTGGACTCTCCCATCCCTTTCTTCCCTCACGGCGTCCAAAGCGAAGATGGGTACTCTCTCTCTCTCTCTCTCTCCCCATTTCTCTCGCCATTTCTCTGCTACTTGATATGGGTTTTTCGTATTATTCATGAATTGTTAATTGTACCTTGTAATTTCAAGTTATTTCTTCTTAATTTCAATGAATTTATTGAATATTTTAAAGCTGAAATTTGATGCAATTGGTGGAACATTTACCTCATCTCGGTGTATTTTTCTTGTGGGTTTTGATATGCATGTCGTCTTACTGTTTGATTGCTGTGGTTTTGCTATGAACTTTATGATTTCTATGTTAAATACATGAAGTTCTTGAAGTTGTGCAAATTAACGTGCTTCTGTCCTATTAAGCATTTTTGAAACTGGTTTTCAATTTTTCATTAAGCCGGCTTAATGCGCATTTGTTCGAAAGAGATTCGGTTGAGCCATTCTGGTTTCTCTAGTTTGAAATTGGGATGTATCTTAAACTGTAATAGTTGTATGGTACATTATGGTTCAAGGGGTTGCGGAGGTTCTTCGTGCTCTTGAGCTATGGTCCTGTGGACATCAGTTGTATTCTAGCTGATATACATTGAAAGCATTCTCTTATTTACAGGGGCATTTGTGATGCATTTTTTCAATTATCAATTTGGTCAAGCAAAATTCATTTTTCCTTGATGTTAAACTTCATTACTACAGGTTCTACAAGGTGGCAGCAAATGAGACTGTGCTCTGGTTTCAGGTTCGCTCCATCAGGTCACACCTTTGTTTTTTTACTGATATTTTGTACAACTACGATCGTGATATACCACCATGCAGTGTTTGTTTTTTCCTTGAACCGATATTATGCTAACTTTTACAAGCATAAGCCTTATTAATGCCACTAGGTTCACTATTGAGTTTGTTTCTTTGACTGTCTGGAGCAGCTTTGCGATGGAATGATTTTCAATCACGACCCACCTAGATGTGTTGATTGCTGGGTAAAATTTTCATCTCTGTTACTGTTATTTTCTTTATGTTGATAATGATATAGAAGGAACTGAGACTGGTGCAATTTTGTAATACCCTGCACTTATTCACTTGGTACTTAGTTCCTCCCTACATTTTGATCCGTGAGGAGCTGCTGCGGATGGTTTGCTTTCGTTTTCTCTATCTCTGCCACTAAAGACAAAAGAGAGGGTTAGAGAGAGATGGGAATTTGGAAATTGACTGCTAAAGCTGGCACTTACACTGCTAGCTAAACAACTTGAGAGTTTTTCTAAATTTAAAATCTACGGAATTTAATAGAATATTGCTACAGCTTTCAAAGGTCCTAATTTTCATTTGCTTTCTTTTACTTTTCATGAACCTGATGCTTGCATAACTTTTATTTTGGATTCAATCATGGATAATTCTTTTTAACAATTGACCCGAGTATTACTGTTCACGTATAATTCCAGGCTCTTGACTCAGGGTGTAATGGGCAGAGGTAGCTTTTTGTTATAAATTGGATAAAACAAAGATAAAGATAGTGAAATATACTTCCTAGTTCCTACCCTAATTTCTATAGAATATCTTATTTATTTGACTACCTTATCGAACATTGCAGGATTGTGTGGGGGCATCATGCTGTGATATGGGTTCTAGTGCGCTTGTGTCAAATAACATAGGAGGTACAGATGCTTTAATGTTTCATATGATTAATGACGTAGCCCTCCGTGTACTTTACTGTATCTATTTCCAGTTGGTAAAGTCGGAAAAAGGAATTCACATTCTATTGCTTATGTATGATAGTGGTAGTCAGTGACTCAATCATGTTTGGGAATAATCAAATTAATTTCTTTCAGATATTTCCTTCTATTGCCTAGCTCTGCAGAAGTAGATGTTTAATTTGGACATGTTCTGGAGCAAATAAAGCTTTAAGGGTCGTGATCAGATGTCGCTCTTGCAAATTATATTGTGTTAAACAATAGCTATTCATAAATAGTGTGAAAAAAAATTGTGACAGCTAAACTGTTTAATGACATCCTATGCTCTGTGGCTTCAAACAAAATTCCTCTTGATTTTATGCTATGTTGTGCTTTGGTCCATTAGAAATTGGGAGCCTGTGGTGCCCTCTTTTTAGTTTCGAACAAAGCAGGAGACTGAGGCCTTTCTCATCTAATTTGGATTGAAAATTGTTCTATCTTGGAAGATTGTATTTATTCTTCTAAAATGAACCAAGTGGTAACTGCAGGTTACGATGTGTGCACTACTATTGGGCGTGCCTCAAGCATGGACATGAACATAATTGGTGAGATTTCTTTTCTATTTTTCTTGGAATCTCCCCCAGATATAAAATTGAATGATACTTTCAGGTTTCCATTAATGTAGCTTGAATATGGCATTGCACAAATATGTATGGACATTCATGCTTTCTGACCTTCACAATTGATTTGGTTTGAGAATAAATTTTCTGAAGATTTACTGACTTCCTTGTTATGGCAGACAGGAAGAATCCCAACACTGGTGTCATTGTTAAGATGTCAAGTAGTGGCCTGAAGTTCAACTGTTCCCTCTCTGTGTCTGTAATTTGTGATCCAAATAGAGTTCAGGCAAGACCGTTTTACAAAATCATCTGCATAATTTGAAATGATCCTGGAATTCTGACATGCTTGGTTGATGATCCAGTTTCTTGTATTTCTATTTTACAGGGGCCACATTTACTAGAGAAAACTGGGAAATGCGACTATGTGAGTTCTTTCAGTTTAAGAATATCTTCATTTCTTCTTGCTTATCGCTTAATCTTATACAAGATGGGATTTTACTTTGATAAAGTTGTCCATGGGAGTAGCGATATTTTGTCCATATTCTATGAACTGTACAGCGTATACTATAGAGTATAGGACCTCTGGCCCTCTGTCTTCAGCTTTTGTATACTAAGCTTCTTACCTGATTTAATAAGTTCCTTTAGCATGAATCTTCCCTCGCCCTGATCTCCAGCCAAATTTATTAATTAAACTAATATGATTTGAATGGTAAACTTGTTTGGAACTGAATATGTGCTCAACCTGTTTCATTTTCCTGCTTATCACTAGTGCGCTTCTTTGTTGACTGAAGATCCATTGAAACCTTTTTCCTTTCCCAGCTGGTGGCACTTTATCTTTTAGGCTTTGTTTTTTGTGCATATGGTTCAGCTGGTGGAAAGGGTGGTGGTATTGACTATTGAGAAAAACCAGTAAACTAGCTAGTGTTTGCTGTTGCGAATGTATGAAATCATAGATTTCAAAATAGGGATGTATGAAGCTTTGAAATGCATAGCACTGGCTCTCGGTTGACAGTTCATTTTGTGACATTGAAAGCGGATTTGCAGTGAGTGTATGAACAATGTATAAACTATGAGTTCATAATATCTTCTCTGTCTGACAGGCTACAGTATTAACGCATCCATCTGGCTGTGCCAAGATTGAACATGTGCATGGAAAAGCGTGGGGCTGGTTTGGTACCTTAGGAATCATGTGAGAGTCAAATTTATTTCCAATGCGATTTTCTATGTCTACTGCGGAAGTTTTTCTGAGTCATTGTAAGTGATTGATAATTGATCTGACTTTCAGAATCTTATGCCTTTTTGGAGCTTATCTGCTGGTTGGGGCAGCTTATCGGTATATAAAACTTGGAGTTCGTGGAATACACGTATGTTCCTCAATTAGATCAGCTTCTTGCACACAAATGAATTAGTAATGCTTGAGTTTTGTCCATTCATATGTCTTGAAATTGTTTTATGAATAGGTCCATCTATTTGATGTGTATCATTTTGAAATGGAATTCAAGTTTTCTTAAAAATCGATCGATAGAGGAAGAACTAATATATGTCAATGAGTCAGGTAAAATGGTGGTCGTGAATTACGCATAGGAAACTGGGTGATACACATACACACAGATATATATGTGTGTGTGTGTGTGTGTGTGTGTATCATACAGTGGATGGTCTATGGAAGGAAATATTGAAGGGGAGAGAACCAAAACACGTGACCTTTCGGCAAGGGAATTCAAACTTGTGACAGTCATGGAATAGGGAACAGAGCCACATGTTCCTTTTACCATATTACTATAATTCCATATGTCACGTTGGAGTCAAAATCTATTCCATTTTCTCACTTTTTGTTGCAGCATACTATTTAGAACATATAACATCAGTTAGATCACATTCCAATAGCAGAAAAAATCTTACTTGTAACTGGTACTTTAGAATCTGGTCAAGGTTCTAAAGTGCTCCTTTGGTGTTTCAATTCTGGTAATTTAACTATGATTTGGTGCTTCTCCTTTTTTCAGATTATGCCAAACTTGGACTTTTGGACCAGCTTACCTCAAAGTACCCAGGTATTCTGCTTAGGTTTAATGATTGTGTCTTTCCCCTATACTTCTAGTGATGTGGCACAGATATAAACAAGTTTCAATTTAATTGCCTTTTTCTTTTTCTTAGCTCTCAATATATTGTTAATAACTACTACCTCTTCTCTTTCCAGAGTCTGTTTGCATCCTTACTGCACAAATTTAGGGGATCTTCTCATGGTCATCGAAGCACCTATTCTCCTGTCGACTTTTGAGCATAGAGATATTTGTTTTAGGTTAAGCTGGTGACTTCATTTTGTATCATCTGTACTCTGCCATCAACGTTTGGAAAACAAGAGAAAATAGGTCAGCATGCAGCAACAGCCTAGTGAAAGCTAGCACTTAAGCTCGGCATGCACCATCATAAAAAGGGTGCCTTCTCCGTCTCACCTATGCTTTCCATGTTCTTTTTTTTTTTCAGTCACGAGTCATATTTTAGTTGTAATGTAAAGAAATCCTCCTTACCAAGTCCTCGTTTACTTGTTATTTTCTTCGTACATTGCTCAGCTGCTGTTCAGGCAATTTTGGATGAATGTTTCCACATGGATTTTAATATTTCTCCGGATAAAATGAAAAGTGAACACATTGGATGTTGAGTATTGTGCATTATCTTGCCTGTTGAAATATACGGTAGCATGCAAGTATATTTTAATATCTGATTTATTGAAATGTGAATATCTTGCTTAGATACAGTCTAAATTGACGGTTCTGATTCAGATGTTTGAAAAGATGCCGTCACTGGACAGATACATTTGTATGGTAGAATTATGTTAGTAATATGGTGATGTGGTGGGAGAAAGGCTCTTTGGAGTGTTATTCGATCACAGAAATCCTCATGAATTGAAAGCATTGAAGGCTTACCTTATGTGACATTATTTGTGTACTGATTCTGATGTGTCTGGCTAACACATTGTCGAGGTTCTTTGAAAGGCGCCAGAAGACACAGCAACTGCTAGTTGTATGGAGAAGATGTCTGAAAGGTATAATACCCAGGGTGACGATTCTTTTCCACAACTCTTTGATACATGAAGTACAACCAGCTTCAATTGTCTGCCTCATTTCGATTTTTCCGTTTGCAATGTGTTCCGTGTCTCTTCAGTCTCAGGTACGAATTTATCTCGTTAACTTTTGCAATGAGATTTTATGCGTTTTGAACTTCTGTGTTTTAGGAGGGATGAATAGTATTTTCTTGGCTAAGATTACTGGAGTTTATGTCTTGTGAACTCTTTGTTCTTCTTCCTCTTCATGGTTTGGCGAGGAAAGGAAGGGGGTCCGGGGGTTGACGTGTTGGGTTACCCAGCCCACGATGAGTTGTCCTAAGTCTATTAGGAATTATAGTCTTAGAGGATTAAATTGTTTACCGCAATTGGAGTTGTTATCCCAATCAGGGTGGTTTTTCCAATTGGAGAAGGATGCATAACTAGGTTCGAATTAGGATTAGTAATCCGTATTAAATACAACCTTTATTATGTCTATGTAAGGGTTATTGCACTAGTTTGGAAGTGGAGCAACACAATAAGTTGTATACTACTTGAGGAGTTAGACTAAGAGAATATTGTAAGGGCAAAGTGTGTGCGAGAGAAAAAGAAAAGCGAAAAAGAGTGTATTTCTTGTTCTTGATATTTTAGGTTTTTTCGTCAAGTTCTTAATTCTAGAGACTTGGCAAGATTATTCGTTGTACTCATTATTGATATAGTGAAAGATTGTTGTTAATGCTCCGTGGACATTAGCACATATAGTCGAACCACCTTAATTCTTGGTGTTATTTGTCTTAATTATTTATTTTAAGTTTTCGAGTTTTATTCGTTTTTTCTATTCTTAAAATTCGATATTCACAACAGAATAGTTAAGTACAATAGTGTTTATTAGCATTTACTTTGTGAGCTTTATTGGCAAAGAGACAATCAAACTTTCTTGTAAGAAAAGATTATGCACTTGAATGTGATGATGGAAACTTGTAAGAGAAACAAAATAATAGCTTAATTAATTTAGTAAGTTTAGTAGTTGGTCACACCATTTTATTATTTGTTGTATTATTGAGTGAGAATAAAGAAAGCAAAGCAGGTGAGGGCCAACCACTTCTCTACCTAAAACCAATATTTCCTCCCTCTCTCCCTCTCATGATTGGAAAGAAGAGAGAATTACTTACCTTAGAAGCCAAGGGAGATTATGTTTTTCTTTTGGGACCAGAAATGGTACTTGTTTCAATGATTTCCCAAAGCACAGAAATTACCTACGTTTGGATATCATTATTGCCTTTAAATTTAATAGAAACGTAATGCAAAAAAAATAAAAATAAAAAGAGATTTAGAAATTCATTTGTTGTAATATAATTGGTTGAATACTTGAATAAACTTTTTGTATTTGAATCGTATTCCCAGCACACTGACCGTGACATTTATAATGTTTCAAATTATATAACCAATCTCAAACGACCAAATTCTTATATATTTATTCTTCTCACACGATGAATCTCTATGGACCTCCATCTCAACCAAATTAGATCACACCTTCAAATACAATTATACGATTTCACATGAGACTAATGAAGCCGCCGCCGCTCTCCTCCTCCTCCACCGCCGCCGTCTTCCGCAAGGCTCGACTCTCTCCCTACCTCTTCACCCTCCTCGTCTTCATCCTCTTCGTCTGCGTCCTCTACGGCGAGGACCTCACCTGCATTTTCGGCCAGCAGCTCCAACTCACCTCCAGCTCCGACCCAATCGTGATCAAAACAGGTGAGTCAACCCACCCCATTCCACCGAGTTAACCAATTGAAGCTTTGCAATTTACTAAATTGGGTCTTTTGTTTTTGGGGCTAGGGAAGAAGAGAGAGAAGCTGCCGTTCACCGTCGGCAAGACCGACGAAGGGTGTGACTTGTTCAGCGGGAGGTGGGTCTTCGACGAGTCAACTCGGCCGCTTTACGAGGAATCGGAGTGCCCGTACATCCAGCCACAGTTGACCTGCCAAGAACACGGGCGGCCGGACAAGGACTACCAGAAATGGCGGTGGCAGCCCCACGGCTGCGATCTTCCCAGGTCAGTAGCTCAGTCTTTAATAAAACGCGTCAATTCCTCGTTTTAATCGTACGACAGGAACCTAACTCTCCTAGTTCTCGAGCCCTACTTACGAATCTCGGCACCGACAAAACAAAACGGTTTTGGCGCTTTGTCCTTGTCTGATGAACCGATTTTTGTATTTAAACCGGCTGGGTTGGTTCCCGGCCGGCCGCCGTTATGTGCCCGGCATATCGAAATTCTGTACCTTTCGTCCATCTGTCCTCGTGGGAGACAACTAGTTACTAATGTACAGGGCCCACCGTCGCACACAACAACGTGGATGGGTTGGGCCCAAATTTTGTACGGGCTTTAGGAGCACGATATTATGGGCTCTTGGGAACGGCCCTGGACATAGATGGTTTCTTAATAATTGATTTTTACATTGTTGTATTGGAGGGAATCGAACTCTAAGCATGTCTTAATCTTAACTCATTACTCGAATTTTCTCGACATTTGAGGTTAATACCAAGGCCTTCGTTTGATTGGCCTATTAATAACAACCAAAATCATTTATAAGTATGTTTGGTAGAACAACTTAAAAGTGCTTCTAGGTCGTTATAAGCGTTTTCAGGAGAAACAACTACAATACTTGTTTTAACAACATTTCAACGTGTTTATATAAACGCTTTTAGCATAAGCTTTTATGAGCTTAAATACTTTCTAAAGAAGCAATCTCGAACAGGCTCTATATAATAATTGTCCCTAAAATTATAGTTTGAACTGTATCAAAGATTGTCGAAACAGCTAAGTTAAAATAACTTGGTGTGCAATCTGTATATTCCTACATAAATCCATACCAATAGCAGCTGGCGGTTAGGTTCTAAGCATAAGTTCTTCCGGCTTGAGGTTGTGGGTATTGCATGGCACTGGTGGTGAGAGTAGCCAATCTCCTCTAAGCATTTTTGAAATTAAAAAAAATAGAGTTACTTCCTAATAATATATGTTTTTTCTGCATATTTGTCATTGATTTTTCTTTTATCTTTTTAATTAATTTTTTAATATTTTTTTTTTCTGGTCACTGTGTCATTGGTATTAACTTTAATCTTGTAATCTTATGAAAATCATATGTCCTTTATGTTGGATTTTTTTGTAACTTACCAATAGTGTAACATGTATAACATTCTTCTCACAAATTATACAGCTTCAATGCCACTTTGATGCTTGAGACGCTACGAGGGAAGCGGATGATGTTCGTTGGAGACTCTCTGAACCGGGGTCAGTATGTTTCCATGATTTGTCTTCTCCACAAACTCATCCCGGATGATGCCAAATCCATGGAGAGCTTCGACTCAGACTCGCGAACTGTTTTCACGGCCAAGGTGACATTTCATTGTGGTTTTCACTTTTTCTTCATACTTCTCAAATGTACATTGCCAATTGCGCAGAGTCGTATACTATTCTTTGTTCCATAATGTGTAGACATACAATGCCACAATCGAGTTCTATTGGGCGCCGTTTCTTCTTGAATCAAACGCGGATAATGCTGTCGTCCATAGGATATCTGATAGGCTTGTAAGGAAAGGGTCCATCAATAAGCACGGCAAACATTGGAAGGGCGTTGATGTATTGGTGTTCAATACTTATCTGTGGTGGATGACCGGCTTGGAATTTAAAATATTGTACATTCCTGCCCCCATCAAATAATACATTGCTTAAGTCTTTCTTCCTATATTGCTTAACAAAGTGTCTAAATGCTGAAGTTTTAATTTTCAGACTAGGTTCCTTCAATGATGAGGTGAAAGATATTGTGAATGTGCCAACGACAGAGGCTTATCGTATGGCGATGAAAACTATGTTAAGATGGGTGCGGAGGAACATGGACCCCAAGAAGACGAGGGTCTTTTTCACTAGCATGTCTCCTTCTCATGGAAAGTGAGTACAGTTCTCTCAACCCTATTTATTCAAATCATGTATATAGCATGCATAATTGTGATGACCCCAATTCGGAAAAAAACAGACAAATTGAAAATTTGAAGCTTTGTAGACGCGTAACTTGTGCTTGAAGTTTTCACAAGATTTAGGTGGCCTAACATTTGATATTTGGCAGGAGTATAGAATGGGGAGGTGAACCAGGAGGCAGCTGCTACAACCAGACTACTTTGATTGAAGATCCGAACTACTGGGGTTCAGATTCCCGGAAAAACATAATGGAGGTAATTGGAGAAGTATTCAGTAAAACGAAGGTGCCCATTTCTTTCCTCAACATCACGCAACTTTCAAACTATCGCAAGGATGCGCACACATCAATCTACAAGAAGCAGTGGAACCCTCTGACTCCCGAGCAATTAGCCAACCCTGTTAGCTATGCTGATTGCGTGCATTGGTGTTTGCCTGGCCTTCAAGATACCTGGAATGAGCTTCTGTTCGCCAAACTTTTCTATCCTTGATCGTGGTCCGAAGTGGTGAGTTATCCTCCTTCCGGCCTTTCGGGATGGTCCTTGCATGGTGGTGGCAATTGAATGGTGTAATTATCCATGAAAAATGTGAGATGGAAGGCAAAAGAAAGAGAGAAGAAGAAGAAGATGTGGGCAAAGGAAGGGCCCATAGAAGAAGATAGATTGAATCCTGCTTTGAAATGTGAAAAATGAAATTTTGTTATTAAATTTGGGTTTTGTGAAGGAGAACACTTGAGTATAGTGATTGATTAAAAGAAAGTACAGAATTATTGCAATGTTTTCAAAGCCATTTTGGTGTTGGTCCGGTTGCACAGATGTCTTCGAAGGCAAACGACATTGTAATTTTCGCTCATCGTCACATATATCACTCACTGAACAACTTCTAAAAATATGTTGTTTTTTAAGGATGACCATATATGCATCGTTTTATTGTTCATGTGAGTCAAACTTGGTCTCTGGTTCTCAGGGGACCGCAACATTACAAAGAAGTGAGGGTGCCATTCTGGCTTTTGCGGCCACAACATCAGAGCAGAACACCGGAGTTACCTAGAAAGACACAGGGTTTGCCCACCTATGGGTTTAACTCGCAAGAGCATAAAGTTTCTCGTTAATTTGGTTAAGAGCTCATGGATAGAACTTGCTCCTAAAAATCGGCCTGTAAAAAAAAAGGGTGTCCTGTTGAGAGTTGTTCCGCATCGATGAGGGACAAAGTTTGCTATGTGCTTATATGGTCTTGGGCTACTCTTTATATTGTCAATTAGTTTTATTGTGGAACCTTAATTTCATCATGATATCATAGTCAGGTTGTCCTCATGTGAAGCCAAACCAGCCACACGCTGCTCCACGCTACCCACTTGTTGTCCAAGTGTAGGCTTGAAAATTCGTCACACATGCGGGAGCAGTGTTGATGAGGAACAAGGTTTGCTATGTGCTTATATGATCTTAGACTACTTCTCATATTACTAATTAATTTTATGGTGGAATCTCTATTTCATCATGTCCAAGATCTTAAACTTCTTTAAGATTTTATGTTTTTCCGACGTATGACAGTTGGGTCTCAATTAACAAATTTGAAAACACGCAACCCATCATCATGGGCAGAAGAGCACCATTTTCCTTATTGTACAAGACAGCCACTTTAAATAATTGATTGTTGCTATACTTATCAACTTTTCATCGTCAGATTCATTTACTAACGTATGGGAAATTCTTTTGCCTAAAAGCATTATAGAAAATAAATTTCGCATAATTCTTTTTTCTTTCTACAAATTCTTGGTAAAACGTTATTCGCATAAATTTTTGATCGACCTTCATAAAACTACTCATTTTCCGTCAAATAATAATTTTACATAACAATATCGCGATATAAAAAACAAGAAGTTAGAGACAACAATAGATGCACAAATTTCAGCTTTTTCTATAAACATGATCCGGTACTGTGCATTGATTTGAGATATGAATTAGAAAGGAAGAAGTGATTGTTAAAGTGGAGGCAGATTCTCTGTACTCTCACTTCTTGAATTTTTTTATTTTGTGAGGTCACGGTTAAGTCACGTTAATATTTTATATTTTTTTAATAAAGATAATAAGATAAAAATAAATAGTAATATAAAATGTTAACATGATTTAATCGTGACCACATAAATAGAAGATCACGAAAAATAGGAGGGCAGAGAATCTGCCTCCTATTAAAGTTGTTGCCAAGATACATAAACTATTACAGTCATGATTTGTGTCTCACCTAATTCCTATCGATACCAGAAAATTTAATTAAGGGCCTGTTGGATGGTGGGGTTCCAAATCTAGGATATTTTTTTTTTTTTTAAACTAACGATATTATATATATTAAAACGGGTAGAGGAGTTAATTAAGCCTCACAATAGACCATCAATAATGTGATTCAATTTCACATTTGACGAGAATCGAATCTAAGACCTCTTACTTACTAGTGAAGAGGAATACAACTAAACTGTAGTATTAAGTAGTCAAATCTAAGAATTTTGATACGTTATAATGTTAAATTGGTTGTCTCTAAAGATTCACAATAATACGGGCCAAGACTAACAATAAGAAAAGAACGAAAAGAACTAGATTTCAAATGATTCTTTGCATATAGTTATTTCAAATGCATCCAAATCCGAAGTTTTCTAACTTTCAATGCAAATTTAGTCTCGTTGTTAAATCCAAATAATTTCTTTCAAATTGCTCGGTTCGAATGGAGCCTTAACAGTTTGACAGAAACTTAAATATAAATTAAATGGCAGAAACATATTTGCCACGAGCACAGACTAGTTTGATTGAAGATCCTAAGTACAAGGGTTCAGACTCTACTAATGATATAATGCAGATAATAGGAGATGTGTTTAATAAAGGGAACTTTAATGAAAAGCTTCCGATACTGTTCATCTTAACGAAAAACCACATTTTTACACTAAGGTGTCAATTCTTGTACTATTCATTTTACCATTTATTTTGTCATTTTTGTTAAAACTCAAAGTTTTCAAATCATTTTTAATTAGGTTTCCTTTTAATAAATCAAAGAAGCAGTGGAGTCCACTGACCCCAGAACAATTGGCAAACCCCATTAGCATGCCGACTGTGTACCTGGCCTTCAAGATACTTGGAATGGAATCTAGATCCTCTCATAATCTCTATGTTCGGAGCTTGTGGATCGAGAGATCTAAACCACTCAATTTTAATTCTACGACTCCCATTAGCCTAGCTATATCATTGTGCCACCTCACACAAATCAAGGGTTCGATCTCTCTCACTCTTCAACAATCCGAATATTCGGATCCCTATACTCTGGATCTGAAATCCGAAGAGGATCTCATTCTTAGAATGAGCTTCTATTTGCCAAACTTTATTATCCTGACTTAGTCAAAAGTCTCGTGTTCATGTGGATGATATTAAACTGTACTTCCAACAAAAATATAGGGAAACTGATCACAATGATATTTTTTTATTAAAATGATTTTCTTCTTCATGATGTTAAGAATATTTGATCGCTAAATTATTAAAATTTGATTAATATGCCGTCAATTACTGTTGATTTTAATCAATTTGATATTTGCAATTTGATTGATCTCTGATATTTTTTTAATTTAAACAATTTCTGATAAAATATATTTGTGAAGCATTACATATATAAAGTTGCTGACATAATATGAATCGTTCACTATAATCACCAAAAGCAGTACTCATCAAAATAAAGATTAAAGAGTACTTTGGGGCCCGAAGGCTTAACTTGCTTAGTGGCAAATACCACGAAAGTAAGGGACAACTAATCATCACTTGCTTTGATATTGATAATTTTCTTGCATAATTAGTGGCAAAATCTCCAAAAATTGAGGAACAACAAACAGAAAGCCATTCAATCTTGTAACTTCAGGTCATCACTATGTTAGATATTTCTCAGATAACTTCTATAAACCCTAGATAAATTTCAGCGTGGACATACAAACACATTTTCTTGCCTTGACTAAAATCTATACTATTATTCCTTGTCAAGTTTTTGCCACTTTTTTTCCTATTTTGCCTTCACTTTTGATACACAATATTAACATAAGGAGGGCAAAATAGTAATTTTGTATCTTTTGAACTTTTTGCCCTTTTTTTCTATTTTGCCCTTACTTTTAATACACAATATTTACATAAGGAGGGCAAAGTAGTAATTTTGTATCTTCTGACAAAATGACAATCATATCCCTATTTTCCCTATTTTACCCTCATTTTAATACAAAATATTTACATAAGATAAAAAATATGCATTTATTAAGAGAAATTGTCCCACCATCATTTTTCATACAGTTAAGTGAAATTATGATGTTTTTTGGATAGTTTGAATGCACTTAAGCGGTTGCACTTGAGGAGAACGTGGGAGGAGATGGGCAGTTGAAGAGGCTTCAATTTTGTACATTTTGACAAAATGATAATCATATCCCTATTTTTCCTATTTTACCCTCATTTTTTGAGAAGATGACAATCATATACTTATTTTTCCTCTGACAAACAAATATACCCTTATTAAGATAAATTGTCTCATCATCATTGTTTCATACTCTTTTTTAATATTTTAAAAACTAATCACACTCCTTAATAAAAAAAATAAAAAAAAATGAAATTGTTCACACACACACAATGTGTGCTCATCTTCTATAGTGCCAATTGAGACACCCTACTAGCAAGAAAACCATTAAGTTTGTGGTTCATTGTAAGCTGTTTATTTTTATCGAAAAGGACAATTCGGACGTGAAGAGAACTCTAATTTAACTTTGGAGTCGATATTATTTACTATTTTAGGAGTTGATCATGGAAATTAAACTTGCTATATATGATGGCCTTTGCACCTTAAATTCGAGACGGTGGTTGAAGAAAAATCAAATAATTAGAATTTTGGTTGGTATAGTCAAATCAGTCATGGACACACACACATACGCAGGTGATGAGGTAATGGGTGGCCTTGATATCATTCTTCTTGCCAACTTGCTAATCAACTTGCAGGCAGCTAATAGAGACTATATATCTGTTCCAACACACAACATATATATAGTACAATCGAGGATAGAATTTATATAGTTAAAGGGAGGCAAAGCTTGCAACTTGCATTTGTTTCCCAAACCGACTTGATCGTTTTAAAGTCAAGTTGCAGTCCAATGCACCTAATATTGATTCCTCAGTATCGACAATTACCAATTTATTTAACACAACATGATACGATATTCAAGAACTCCGTGTGTGCGCTTCCATGTAAAAATACAAAATTGAACATGTTAAAATATTACACGTCAAGTTTGAGATGAATTAGTAGTCCGTTTTAACTTTCAAAGAAAACTGCAAAGATAAACAATATATATCAACTAAAGTTAGAACAAATGATGTGCATACTGAAAATATATTTATCATAATCGGATCGTATGTACCCTTGATCAGGGACGGCCGGAGCATAGGATCAGAGGGCACATGCTTCCTCACCTTTTTTCTCTTTTAAAAATCTTATATTGATTTTCTTAAATAATTGCAAAATCCGCTTTTAGTTCTTGAGTAACCCCTCAGCATTATTTTTCTCATTCAATATTAAATTATAAACGAGCATTAAATTAGCAACACAACAATTTGAAGAAAAAAAAAGTATATAAATACAACAAGTAAAGAAAGAAATTAAAGGAAAGAGTGAAAAAAATTAAGGATTTTGTATCAAGTTGTAGAAGTTAGCTTGATTTGTTACAACCCTCTCAGTTCAGTTTCTAACCTTTTTCTCCATCTTTGATCCGATTAATGCATGTAAATCTTGTTTGGTCATCAATTACTTATTTAGTTGTAATTCTTATCAGGTGCAGAATGCTCATGTTACGTGATTTTAAAAAAAAAAAAAAAAGAAATGATGAAATATTTCATAATATAGACCACTTAACATAATATCAATACAGTAACTGGTGCTTCGAGCCTTGGATCCTCCTCTTGGAAGCTCCTACATACTTACTTTCTGGGTTACAAATTGGGTAAGAAGATGACAGTGTAATCAGACGTGAGGGACGCAAGGAAGATAAGGAGCAAAAGATTGCAAACACTTGGTCATGCATCAAGATTCTTACAGATGATACAATGTAATTCGTAATTAACTTGAGCTTGTTCTGCTTGTAATTGCAGTCTCTGCACATCGGTGCTGGTGCAATGTTGTTGCGAATCTTCACACTTTACAGCAGTTATCTCATTGGTATTGCCGATATATATGAGAAAAAAGTTACTCCATTTCTTAGCCAACTTTAATTTAAATAAGCTTCGCTATTTAATTAATGTTTCAAGTACATAGTTGATAATAATGTACAGAAATCAATCAGTATGCTAATGTACGGAAAGAATCACAGCTGATTCTCATTAGCTGTATACAGAATTAGAGATAGAGCATACTTTTTTTTTTTTTCAACCAAAAAAAAAAAAAAAAAACCACCGACGATACGAGGAGATCATACATTATTATTGAAAAAATATGTTCTAAGGATTCTAAAGAGAGAGATCATATATCATACATACAACTCAGCTATATGCAGACTATATATTATTATCTGGTATCAATCAGCCAGTTGTTTCCATTAATTTAATCGGAAGCTGAAGAGAGAACCTTATTATTTGAACTAGGGTTAGTGATCAAGTTTCATATTTAACCTATACATACATTTTTAAGACTCCGTATATAATACAGTAGAAATATTAAGAAATAAACATTGAAGAATTTAACAATTGAGGGACAAAGTCGCAGAAAAGTTCTAATTAATCTTGTTAATAGATAGATATATAGTCTTTTAATACAAATAAATTGGTTGACGGGTGTTTCGAATACAGTGTTGTTAATATAGTTAACTTTACATAAACAAATCATTTCTTAATAAAAGAAATTAAAAAACACACAAAACAAAAAGGAAACAAGAAAATTAGAAGGACGAACACACCACCAAATTAGACATAATTTATGAAATAATAAGATGATATTGCAGAACATTATATTGTTATATGTATAGATCGATTGAGCAATCTGAGATTACATGATAAATAAGGAAATTAAAGAAGCAATTTATAACATGGACTAATATACACGATATCATAAAACAACCCTTTGACCATTTAAACCAGCTGCGAAGATCGAGCCTCACAAAAAAAAAAAAAAAAAAAAAAAAAAAACAAATCACCGACGAAGAAAATGTGAATAATTTCATGAGGGTTTCTTGGTGTTTGGCTTATTGGCCATACTCTCAGCGATCTGAGCCAACGACTGCAAGTTGCAACGCACGATCGTGTCCACAAACACGCACGTCTCCTCCTTCGTGTTCCCGGGCGGCACGTCAACCACGTACGACTCGACGACGACGGTCCCCACTCCGTTCGGTGAGTCGTGCAGTGTGGTGACCGACCGGTAGTTCGTCAGCCGATGGTCCCCGCCCACCACGCTGAAGCTGATGACGTGCCGCTCGTCGTCCAGAATCTCCAGGCGCTCCGTGCTGGACCCCGCGGGAAGCCCCGACACCACGTGAACCTCCCGGACCGTGCCTACGTCACCCTTTCCGTCTATGACGTGGCAGCTCTTGAGGAAGTGCTTGTAGGCCTGCGGGTTGTCGAAGCGCCGCACGACGGACCAGACGGTCTGGACAGGTGCCTCGATGGATTGCACTACGGCAGAGCAGCACTGGTTGGGAGCCATCACGTGGGAGTGGTAGAGCGTGAGGTCGACTGCGGCTGTGACTGCCTGGGATTGGAATTGTTTGTGGTGGATTGTGTTTGTGGGGTGGTGATAATTAGAGGGTTGATTGGTCTTTGAAACTGGATTGGTGAAGACATTTGCCTTTGGTGATGTATTTTGTTGACAAGGTTAATTTAGGGCTGGGTTCAAAGTTTACAGATGATTATATATATGATGGGCAGAGAGGGGAGGGGGGGTGGGGTTGAGAGAAGGAGGGAGAGGGAAGGGGGGGGGTGTGAGAAAAGGGAGAGGGAGAGAGTGAGGAAGGAAGAGGGAGAGACAGGTGATTAGTTGTTTAAGTGGTGATGAGGTCCACTTGGATTAGTTTTGCTGTTTCCTCGGACAAAGAGAGAGAAAATAGGGAGGAGAATTTTGTTGATACTGCAAACAAGTTATTTTTGTGTATTAGTTTACATGTTATAATAAGAATAAACGATCATTAACGTAATTAATATGTCCTACTACTTTTATAATAGACTAAAACATAACAAGTGAATACTGTAATTTGAGTGAAATAATAATAACGTGATATGATCATACACTAAATATCTCCAAAGAGGAGAGAGAAATAAGGATTGGGGTTGGAGCCTTGGAGGTGGTGATGATGTTGATCACAAACATACGCCGGAATCGCAAGTGGATCCTCAACTTGCAACTATTTTCTTTTGGACTTTGTTTATTTATTTATCCTTTTTCTTTATTTCCAACCACAACTTTTGCCACTTGTTTTTTATATAACTAATTTCTTGTTCTTGTTACCCAGAAAGACTAATTTCTTATTTATTTTCTAATTTAAACATTTTTTTAATTGCTTGTTGATTCTTCTATATTCAAACCTTGGTACTTTTCTGTTTAACTTTTAATTAAGCCATCCAATAAAATGGCTTCTTTCAATTTTTTTTGTTTTTACCTTTCTATGTAAAGTAGGGTTTTTGAATTCTTCTAATACGAGTCCGTGTCAACCATTAGGAAAGATGATTTAAGCGTCTATGTCGAGCATACCGAATTTTGTATGCTTTCATTTCTTTTACCCTAGTTATTCTCTTCACCCACACAATTTAGTTTTTAGTTTTTTTCATATAACAATTAGAAGTCAAACTTGGAAACTTATTTTCTTAATTACAAGAAATAGGCCGGAGAGTTATACTGCTGCTTGTCTATAGTCAAGTATTGTGCAAACTTACAATACTACTAACGCTTGCAAATTGGCCTTTTATTTATTATTTTTTTATGTATTAGTATTTTCTTTTTCAAATATATTAGTACTAGTTTTAACTTTTATCAAGTAACTACTCACGTAGTGGGTGCTTACTGCTTTGTTTGAAAATTTTTAAAATAATTTGGTTTTACCATTTTACCCCCGTTAATTAAATTGTTTTGTTTTAAATTCTTAATTAGGAAGGCATTTCTTGAAATTATAAATGATTCACATTTTTTGCCTTCCGGCTTTATATATATATATAAATAATGCTACAAAAAAGAATTATTAAAAAAAAGGAAAGTTCGAGAGAAATAGTACTATAATGCTAATTAATTGACTTGATTTGCTAAGAAAAGTTCTTTCATATACAAGCATTGTTTTAAAAATTGGCCTAGGGGCTTAGGCGTTGGACGGTGATCGAGGTATCGTCGGGATTAGGTGTCAATCAGCGAACAAAAGCAAAGAGGTGTTAGACGCCCGACTTGGCACTCCTAGGCGGTTCTTTTTTTAATTAATTAAGTTAAGAGGTTTTCTGGGAAGAAAACCTCAAAACAACCCACAACTCTCTCAGATAGGGTTTTAGGGCTCTCTTAGACCGTCTCCAACCGAAGGGTCCAGAGGGCCAGAGGGCCGAAAATATCCTAAAAACCATCTCCAACCGAGGGCTAGGCCAGAGGGCTCTGGAATCTGAGAGGATCCCACGGAATCGAAGAGGGCTAGAGGGTTGGCCAGAAAATTCAGTTTTCCTGTCGGTTATAACCGACAGGAATACGTTTATATTATTTAATATAAATATATTTCTGTTAGTTATAACCGACAGGAATGCTTAAGAAAAAAAATTCAAATGCAACGGCTAGCTGACGTCAGCTAGCCGTTGCATTTGATTTTTTTTTTATAGTTTTATTATTATTTTTTATTTACAAAATTTTTCCTATAATTTCTATTTTTAATATTTTTTTTTAAATTTTATTTTTTCCTATAACTTTTATTTTACAAAATTTGTTTCATTTTTTTTTTTAAATTTCATTTTTTCCTATAACTTCTATTTCACATAGTTGCTTTATTTTATTTTAAATTCTATTTTTATCCTATAACTTCTATTTCACAAAATTTGTTTCATATTTTTTTAAAATTATATTTTTTTCCTATAACTTCCTAAGCCATTATACAACATTAAATTAAATTAAGTAACATGAAACAACATTAAACAATATGAAATAACATTAACCAACATACAAATTATACAACATAAAAAAAAACATTTAACAACATGAAACTTAAACAACATTTTTAAAAACATTTAACAACATAAAACTTAAATGCCTACTTCATGCTTCTTTTGGCCCAAAGATGTGCAACAAGATCATGTTGTAGGTACTTGTTTGTGGCATGAGAACGTATCATTCTATAGCGCCTCATGTGCTCATTTATAGAGATACTACCAGTTTTTGGATTGAAAGGCAAATTAGGCCCATCATATATTTTTGCACGAGCCCTTCTTGACCTATTTGGATCTTCTTGGTCGTCATCGGACTCTCCATCAATATACTCATCTTGCTCATCCTCCACTATCATATTGTGTAATATGATGCAAGACATCATGATGGAGTCCAAATTTTCTCAACTCCACCCTTTTGCCGGTTCCCTAATAATCTTCCACTGTGCTTGTAGAATATCGAAAACTCTCTCAACATCTTTCCGGTATGCCTCTTGGTGTAAGGTAAACAAATTTTCTATGTCATTCCTAGGGTTTGGAATTGCTTGGACAAGTGTCGCCCACTTTGGGTAGATGTCATCTACCAAGTAATACCCCATATTGTATTGACAATTGTTGATGTAGTAGTGAAGTTGAGGTGCTTTACCTTCCGTCAAGTTATTGAAGAGGGGTGAATGCCCAAGAACTGTAATGTCATTTTGGGATCCAGGGACTCCAAAGAAAGCATGCCAAATCCATGTGTCATACGAGGCAACAGCCTTTAACACAACAGTTGGCTTTCTCGACCTTCCGCTAAAGCCTCATTGCCATCCGGTGGGACAGTTCTTCCAATCCTAATGCATGCAGTCTAATGACCTTATCATGCCCGGAAACCCACGGTCTTCAGATTTGCGAAGGAGCCGATTTAGATCTTCTTGATTTGACTCGTGGAGGTACTCGTCTCTGTGAACCTGAACAATTGTGTCACATAATTGTTGAAGAGTATCAAGGCATGTAGACTCAGACATACCATGGGTTTCATCCATCGAATCAGCTGGGGAGCCATAGGCTATCATTCAAAATGCAACAGTAACCTTCTGATGAGGTGAGAAACCAGGGCGACCTGCTCTATCCAGCTTCTGTCGAAAGTATGGATTGACTTGCTAGACATCACGAAGTAAACGCTCGAAGACATGACGCCTTATCCGAAAGCGACGTCTGAAATCCTCTTCTGTGTACATCGAGTTGGGGTTGAAGTAGTTGTTCATCAGATTGGCATGTGACATCGCTCTGCTTCGTGGTTGGTAAGAGCGACCAGCAATAGAGCCACCCTATTGAGGTTATTCCTCAGTTGGCTGACACACCATGGCCGCAACTATGGCTGCTGTTATGTTTTGTTTGTTGCGCCTTACTTGAACTTCTTCATCACATTCCTCATCTTCTCGTCTCATTTACGCCCATTTTGCTTCCAATTTGGAATTGGATGAGGACCCCCAGTTGGAATCCGAAGAGGATCCAAAGTTGGAATTCATTGCAAACTTGAATTGAAAAAGATTGAATTGAAAGAGATTGAATTGAAATAGATTGAATTCAAAGTTGTGTGAATTATAGCCCAATATCCACCATATTTATAGCAAAAGAAAAATTCAAATCCAACAACTAGCTGACGTCAGCATGATGTCAGCTACCAACGGCTAGCTGACGTCACTTAGCCGTTGGATTTGAATTTAAGTTGTAGTTTTTAAATCATAAATTATGTTTGACCCTATGACCCTCGGTTGGAGACGGTTTTTTGTGGCAGGGCTAAAACAAGCCCTCTAGCCTTCGGTTGGAGACGGAGGCAAATATGCCCCTGTACTGTTCATTAAAATATTAATATCTTGGAGAATCTTGGAGGACCAGAGAGCTAAAACGAGCCATCTAGCCAGCCCTCGGTTAGAGATGGCCTTAGTGCCACAACTTTTTCTCACTGTCACCATTCTCTCCATCGCCTTCTCTTGCCGTCTCCATTCCCCCCATCCCCGGTCGTATTCTCTCTTAGTCTGATAAACTAATACTTTACCGTTGTGTTCTAGTTCTCCCCATGTCTCGCTGTGACTTTCAGTCCTAGTTGCATCGACCACACTGCATATTTATATGATAATTAATAAATTTATTTAAATCCGCCTAGGGTTTGCCTAAGCCTTGCCTTGACGCCTATAAGCTAGGCCCTGATCCGCTACTTGACTAGCGTTTAACGTCTTTTGGAACTTTATTTTGTAAGTACCAAAAAGAAGAAGAAATGGAGAAATAACTGGTTCAAAGATTGATTAAACCTTGTTAACCAAAAAAAAAAAAGATTGATTACACCTCTTCATCAATATCTTGTAAGTTTAAAGTCCCCACTCTCTCTTAGGGTACCTTGTTGCACCTTTAAATAAATTGCAAATAAAGCGGTGGAACCTCTATGTTTTAGTGATTTTTAATTATTTAATCTTTATCATTTGTTTTAATCACGTTTGATTTCTTTTTTATTGTACTATTTTTCTTCTAAATTATTATATCAACCTTAATTGTGCCACTCTTTGTGATACTATACTGAATTCATAATTCCGAGTTATATTGTTAAGTGACACATCCATTTGGATTTAGTCAACAATTTTTGGCTATCATTTAACTTATATTTTAATTAACCAGACAAAGAAAATATGATTTCGGTTAATATTAATCAAAACCTTTTTTTTTTTCCTAAAGTCGGGGATCAGCAAAAGTAATTAGACGGATGTATAGAAACAGCAAAGGAATTGAATTCTATGTTGTATTATCATAATCGTACTTGTGTGAAAATGAAATTGCTTTTCGACTTATCACGGCCATTTTGTCGGCTATATGACAAAGTTCATCAACTTCATCAAACTTACCTATCCACCAATGAAGATCCTTTGTCCTGAATTCAAATATCCACTGCTCGACGTCCGTATTGACCGGCAGCAAAGTTCATCAATTAAATTCACACAACACTATCCACGAAGAACTTGTAATTTAGTACCAGTACTTTGCATCTGATGCTTTATGGAAATGTTCGGTTTCGACTGATAATATAAGCTAGGATGGTGACATGTGTTATCCACACAATTCTTTTTATTTTCTATATATTATTCTTAGTTTTTAGTGTCCGAAGAAATTAAAGAAGATCAAATGACATAAATGAAAATGAGGTGTGTCAGAAGTAAAACATAGTGTGTATATAGTACCATTCCATAAATAATTTTTTGCTTTTTAGTTTAGTACTACATTTATGCATGTTTGTAGCTAGATTCATCGTATTTCCTTTTGCAAAGCCAGTTACTAGTTTGGATTTGCTTACATAAGAAGCTTTTGTTACTAAGTGTTTTAATGAAATTACGTTCGAATATCATAAATAACGAATTCGATACCAAATTAAGTTTCTCATTATGTGCCTTAGCCAAACTTCCCATTCCCTTAGTATAAAACATATTTTTGTACTAAAAAAAACAAAAAAAATAAAACCAAGATAAATTATCTCAAATGGTTTTAAATTTGAAACTGCTGCAGACCGACAGAGAGGAACGATTTTAGCCTAATATTTTGGAGGCTAGTTGAGTAAAATAACCCAGTCCCAAATGCATCAACTCGACTGGGTTCTATTTTATCAGTTGCAGGCTGCTCAAAACTTTAATTTTTCTGCTTTCTTCTTCTCATCTTCCAAGTAGTTGCGGCTTCCCCGTTTTTCTTTACTACTTTTAGCGTGATTCCATGCTTTTGAACTTTCATTTTTTGTCCTTTCTTTTTCTTCCCCTAAATTCCACCCACTTCCACCAACTTGATTGTATTCAAATTTCCAAACCCACTCCCCTTCACATGGCAGATGGTACTATTATTACGACTTGGTTGTTTTTAGTTGTCTTTGGAGAATTTAGTCAATGGACGAGACTTCAATTGGGAGAAAAGTAATTGGCTCCTTATAGTCAGATACTCGTTTCTTTTTACAGACTGATCATAGTTTGAGACGTACGTAAAAAAAATTTCTTTATTGCTTTTATAGTTTACATGTAAGAAAAGAATGACTCGTTAACCAAAATAATTAGTTGTTTATTATACACAAGGACTCGTTTCTCATCATAAGTTTCTTACTTTGCTTAAGTTGAAGATTACTCATAAAAAAAACTTATCTTTTAACCCTACCATTTTCGTTGAGATTAAATAGGGATATCTTTTCTTCATGAATGATCTTTAATTTAGTGAATAGTCATATCCAAGTCAATCATTTCTAACAAAAGAGACCTTATAAATTACTTATGTATGTGTCAGCTTATAGTTTACATGTAACAAAATTGACTCGTTAACCATAAGAAACCAAAAAGTGTCACATCTCAATCGGGTTCTTCTATTTTACTTTCACTTGTTTTCTATTAAAAATAAATAAAAAAATTGGACGGGCTTTTGCCTTTTCTTTTACGTCTGCTTTTGGGTCTCTGGCTTTTCAGCCTGCCCCTTATTTTCTTCTGAGCCTGGATTTCCCTTTTGGAGAAAACCCTATCAAAATTGGGAGGAGTGGTATCTAGAGTCCAACAACAAAATATAAGAGAAACCCAGACGTCTCCGAAGATTAGAAAGAGAGAAACCTAGAGCTTTAAGGGTTTGTCACAATCATCCTAAACCTCCATTTCGAAGATTGGTGCAGATAAGTCCGATTCCTTTAAGTGTTTTTCACTAACATTATCAGTTGTCATGAAAACTAAATCTCATCTATCGTCATGGAAACTACAAATCACGACAGCTACACAAACTAAAGAATAAAATCATCCAGCCGTGCATCTGATCAAAACAACGGCACGTCATGGATTTGAGGTGATGGCCGAAAAACCACGGCCATGGGGCTACGAGACGACCATCATAAACATGAACCAGTCGATCATCTTAAACATAAACCAGTTGAGACCATAAAATAAAAACCAATGTCCAGAGTTTTGCAACATTAGCTGGACATAAAATGAAAACCTCAAGTTCCATACATGCATTGATGGTTGCATCACAATGCATGCCTATTGTTACAACAGTTCAAATTATTCAAAGTTCAAATGAAGAGCTAGCTTCACCCTTTCTCTTCTGATCGTTTCGAAAATCGAAGGCTTAGTCCTTACCTCTCACCACAGTTGAAGCCTTTTCATTTTTCATGATCATATGGAACGACTTGCTCTTGTCCTCTGCCACCATCTCTCTCAGCACATCGTCTTCGATCTTCTCTGCCTGCCAGCGTGATGGGTCCTCCACGAATGCCTCACTGAAAATCATGCTTGACACCCACTCCTTCCAAGTTGTCCTGCCATACTTGTCTTCTTCAAGAGTTCCGGTTGCCAAGAGCTGATACACATACACCACCTTCTGCTGTCCAGGCCGAAATGCGCGTGCAATCGCCTGCTTTGTCTTAGAAGGGTTCCATTCGGAGTCCAACAAGATGACCCGAGAAGCTGCTGTCAAGCTGATTCCCTCGGCGCAAGCTGTGATCGATGCAAGCAGGACCCTCGAGGCTCCGCCGGGCTCTTCAAATTTGTCCATCACCTTTCCTCGGTCGAAAAGCTCCAAATCCCCTGTGAGAACCAAAACTTCTCTGCCTCTCTGCCACCCGAACACCCTTTCAAACAGTTCGAGAAATAGCCTCACCGGTGCAATGTTGTGACAGAAAATCAAAACCTTCTCATTCCTGACAACTTGGTAAACAAGGTTCAAAACAAACTTGACTTTTGACCCTTTGTGCAGATCATACTTGTACTGCTCAAGCTCCATCAGTTCCTCAGGACGAAAAAACTTCCCGGCGCAGCAAGCAGTCGTGATTAACCATGGATGTATCGATCCAAGGGTTATCAGAAGTTCAAGTTCCAGAGGATACCCCTTGTAGTTAGCCATTATGTTTTGCAGTCTGTCCAACATATCTCGTTGTATGTCGGTAGTGTTCATCAACAAGGTGTAAATCTGTAGACCAGGAAGGGTGTCTGAATTTCCACCTTCATACACATCAATGAACCCATTTGTTATATGCCTCAATTGATTTAGACCTTGGATCCTCTGATCTTCTTCTTCATTGGAATCAATCTTCTTGGCAATCTTATCCAAGAACAACTTTCGTGCTCGGGCTTCCATCAAATGGCGCGCTTTTTCCTTCCCTTTCTTTATCCTTCTGTATTTTGGGTCCAACGCCCTTAAAACTTCATTCACAAACTTTGGCCTTGCCAAGCAGAGGGTGTTGAAGTATTCGCAGAAGTTGTTCTGAAAAAGAGTTCCCGAAAGCAATATTCTCAAGTCCGTTTCAACTTTCATCAGTCCCTTCCTCAGCCTGGATTTAGTACTTCTCGGATTGTGCCCTTCATCTAGAACTACAAGACCTGGACTCTCACGCAGAACTTGCGCCATAAATTTTCTGTGCACAAACTTCGAGTCTTCGCGCATCAGCGTCAGGAATGAGGTATAACCCATGACAAGAACACTAGGCTGTGCATGCCACTTCTGTATTTTTTCCAGGCAATCCAACACATGCATCACATCATCGGTTGGCTTCGGGCCTCCTGTAAAGTTTATGGTCTTCTTCTTGAACACTCTGTAGGTTCTTCGACCGTGAATCAGATACACAGGTATAGGAATCTGCCATTTGATAAATTCTTTGTACCAGGTATAGAGTGTTGTCTTGGGAGCAAGGACGAGAGGCCGTTTCCCCGGGAATAACTTAAGGTAGCTAGTAAGAAATGCAATGATTAGAAAAGTTTTCCCGGCTCCAGGGGTATGAGATATAACGCAACCACCGGTTTTCTTGGCTTTTCGTTCCATGAGTGACGGTTCCAAAGATCCTGCAACATTTTTCCATAGAAACTCAAAGGCCTTTTTCTGGTGAATAATAATTTCTTTCTGAGTTCCGGAATTAGGGCCCAAACATTGTCACTTTCTTCCGACAAAGTCTCAGGATCATCCGGAGTAGTGCGAGTGTGGAAGAAATTGAATTCTTCGTACTCAGCTCGCTTATTGTCGGGTTCTTCTACATTACTCTTTCTATCATATGTGTCCACACTGGCATTTTGCACCTAGAGAAACAAACAAGAAAACAGATATCGTTATTGTTTGAAGCAACATGACAGTAAGGTTACTCTCTTATTCAAATTCCGCATATGTAGTAGCACGAAGAATGCAATATTAGATTTTTGTACGAATGAGTTTCCAATTGACTTACAAAGGGGGGAGATACATCTCTTATTTCAGTGCTGACAAAACCACATATGCTGCATATAATCCCAATTTCTTCGTTTAATTTAAATTCATGTCGGCAAGCTGAGTCTGACTTTGGTGGACTTGCATTTGCCGCAGCAGCATTTGATCCCTGGGAAACAAAAACAAAGGCATTATTTAGAAGACTTTCCAGATTGTATTCTGAATTTTGAACTATCATTCTCAAACTTAGACGCAAGCGGAAACTCTAAAAGTTTACCTCATTATCTTGAAGGTAAGCTGATGCCAATGCCAATTCCATTTCTTTCCACAGCATCTCAGTCTCGGACATTTCCTCCTCTTCATCGTCATTTTCTGGCATTTCAGTTTCCTTCCGTTGGTCAGAGTTCTTTGCGGCCTTGAATTCGTTCCACTGGTCCATAATATTTGCGTCTGGCTTATTTGTGCAGTCCATGTCTTTCAAGAATGAATTTATCAGTTCCTTGTATGCACCAGTATTTAAGCTCCTCCTTGGGTAAGTTCTTCCGTTAGGGTCCCTTTTCGAACGAATAGAGTGATGCCTTCTGTATAAAACTCTGCTAGCTCTGCTAGTCGACACTTTTCCATCCCATTTCATTTGGAAGTCCATATCATCTAAGTCAGAATTATTCTTTCTCTTTGTTTTACGATTGTGATGGTAATAGTACTTCGCTGGAAACTCATCGCTCTCGTTTGCACCCTTTTCAGGAGTACTGTTGACATTCCGATGACCATGTCCAAGGGTTAAAGGGTCTCTTCTGTATTCAACAAGGGCAAGTTCATCTCGATGTCTCTTCTGCTTACCCGCACCTGATTTCACCTTCTTCGACTTGGTCTTGATTTTGTATTCAACGTCGTCATCATCATCGCTTTTGCAAGCAAGTTCTTCCTCAGTTTTCCAATAATTGTCATCCTTACTGGACTTCAACTTCTTAGGACGGAACTTTTGTTCTGCCTCGGTGTGCTCTTCTGAATGACTTGCATGTTTGGCAAACAGCTGTGATAACGGTATATACAATTCATCATCTTCTGAGCTGTAATCTACCTTATATGGCCTGCTTCGAACATAGCCAATCTCTATCTCTGATGGAGCATCACAGGCAAGGAAACGCTCAGGTTGTATAATTCGACGCTTGGAACGACGCAGGCCAACAAGCTCAGTAGATGGTGAGGGTACGCTTTCATCCATTTCAGGAGTAGGATCAGCCTCGGTAGCATCATCTGGAACAAATTCGACTACCATAGGTACGAGGAGCCCATTGTCTACTTTGAAATTTACGGCATGCAAGTAGTTGTCAGAATGTAACAGAGTTCGGTCATTGTCGCCTTCCAAAATCTGGTACACGATTTTGGTCTTCACTGATCTGATATCAAATATAACCCTCTTCATCACGGACGCCACAAGTAACCATGAAACATCGGATAAGAACGTCCCCAAGAGCAATTTTGTTCTTGGTAGTGTTGGGCAGTCCGCAGAGCACTCCCAACGGTAGGGTTGATTCTCATAAGCATCCCGGTCAATCATTTGGAAGACGAAAATTTCATCAATTCCAACCAGTTTGGCTTCCTTGTTCAGTGTCGCTCTCTCGGTACCAAGAGGTCCTTGGTTCACATAAAAGTTCACATAGAATTGGCATGAGCACCGATCAGACTCATGCGGCACCCTTTCGATTGAGCTTATTCGAGCATCAACCATCACCTGCATTAGAGAGAGTTTGTCAAACTAACAAGAAGTCAATCACAACTTCCATGGTAACTGATGTTTTCTGTTTCAAACATTTATATCAAAACAATCCAGGTAAACTGTTAGAATCTATCCAAAGCAAGATGAGAAGCTATACGAACTTAATAAAAACTAAAGAAATTAGCCAACAATGGCAGATAAATCGATTTCTTCGTAATTACTAGTAGATGGAACCTTGAAATCAATGACATCAAAAATTGAACGAGGATTAGCATTGTTAAAAACTCATATGAACTCGAGTATCAATGTGGAAGACAAAGATACGATAATTTGTTGCATTTCATAAGCAACAAATCTCACGCAACAAGCAGACTGATGATGGAAGACATTTAATCAAAATCGGACAGTTGGTGCAGTCTCTAGATCTCTCAACCACGACAGGAAAATCATTATATTTCTTTTCAAAAATGCTAGTTTGTATACAGAGACTGAATGCTTTCTGCAATGCATTAGTCACAAAGAGAGTAAAAAGTAATAAAATTAAACATGCCCATCAATACTTAAAAATATGTCATGTAAGAGTTCAAGAAACTCATGAATTTCGAGTGAAAGCGCCCAATCATAGAATGCTACTCACTGGATCTCGACTGCCTTCTTCTGAATCATCTGTATGTTCAGGGGTTGACAGCACACAAATATCAACACCCGGCCTCAGAAAGCAGGTGCAATCATACATATTTGCATGTCTGGACCTGACTCGTAGGTTCGCGAATGGACCTTTGTCCCTGATTATACAGGGATGATTGTTTCCGAAGCTCATGGTCATCTTACCACGCCTGATGCTCAGAACTTCCACAGGTTGCCACGAACCACAGCAAAGAGCCTCAAAAGCTGTCAAGCCCAAAATTAGTAGAATGATACAGATAAGAATTTTACAACTATTGCAACAAAATTGTAAAACAAAAGATTCAGGGCATTTGGCGACGGCACAATAAAATTCTTGTGAGTTTCTACACAAGACTGCCAAGATAAGAATGATACACAAGCTCTTTTTCTTAGCTGAGCAAAATTCCCATGTATATTTTGCTACCAACTAATGAAAGATGTTGGGATAGTTACCCACACGCACACATGATCAACTGTCCTTAAACTCATCACGAAATATGGAAATTTAACTCATTCCATCAACACGCACGTGAGCGTCTGTCCTTAACAGAAGGATCGTCAATGAAATAAGCGATTTATCTTATTCCATTACCACATCGGCATGACACGTGGTGTTACCACCGGCACAAAGAGATGATCCACTTTTGTGCATTCAAGTTTACAAGTGTTACAGACAAAAGTAAATGACTCTGATTAGAGAAGCCATTGATTCACCCGAAACAAATCAAAACTACATAGTTTTATTTCTCTTACTTCTTACTCTCCCAGAATAAATGAATTATCATACAAAACTAATAACAGATAAATGAAAAACATAAACTCTATCTATTTGTTGGGATAAGTTCATTTCAAATAAAAAAAATGAAAACCAAGCCAAATTATTCAAATGAGGAGGCAAATGCTTACGATTAGCATCGAACGGATGCTTAGCCCGATACAGATGTCTTTTCCTCTTCATCCTCATGAGCCAATTGCTATCTGAATCTCGCAAAAGATTACCAGAACCAGTCACCAGTAAAATATCTGCAACACCACCAACAACAAATCTTTGCCATTAGACACATTTCAAACTGAATAACTTTTTCAAAAAAAAATCCCAATAACAAAAAATCATTCGGATATATCATATTCATATATATTATATATGCATGTATATATAATTTTAGTGTAAATATCGACCACCTGGTTCACTGGTTTGGTTTTCTTTCTGACTGCAGAGAGACTGTAAACCTAGCTAGATATTTCTACCCATCTCATCTCACCCCCCACCAAACCCTCACACACACACACATATATATATATATATATATATATATATATATATATATATATAGAGCCACATATCTCTAATATATATGCCATTTGCGCTTTTGCCAACACATGTCACGATGATGCTTACAAATAGGACTCACAGTTAGATATCCTTATTTATGAAAATAATAATTAATAATTTATATTTCTGGGATACAAAAATAAATGCACAAACCAAAAGGGTAACATCATTAACAGAGCATTTACACGAATATCCATCCCAACAACAAATAAATTAATGTTTGAAAAAATAAATTTAATAAATTAATAACTTTTTTCTTCTTCAAAAGTCAGAAAAACCGTGAGTCTACAGTATACCTAGAAGACCAGGAGCTGGTAACCCTTTTGACTCACATTTTTTTGTTTAATTTAGCATTAAAAACAATATTATGCTATTATTTTCCAGTAAATTTTTTTTAATCCAAATCCTAATCATTTTAGGAAAATGTAAAAATCGTTACGCAACATTTTTACCGCTTTGGCTCATCAGAAAAAAAGAGAGAAGAAAGGTAATGAGGATGAGAAAAAGGAAAAGAATCTGCAGCACATCAATTCCTTGTCACTCAAAAAAACAAAATAATTACTCGAATTATTGGAGAGAGAAATAGAAAGAGAAAGAGAGACCTTCTCTCTTTTGCCCTCGGAGTTAGCTAAATTAGCTAGAAAAGTGTATAATTTATGTCTCTCGTAATTAGATGAATTTAATCTAAAATATTTGATACGAGCACAAATGAAAGTGAAATCCTCATGAGGTGAGGAGACATAAGAATTTAATTTTTGGACACATATAGAAAATGATATTCCCACCTCTAAAATTCTACATGCAAAGCAAAGATTAAAGCAGAAAAATTTTTTCTTCATGTGGTAACACAACACAGTCAATACATGCCGTACCACCAAAAATCACCAGAAATATCCAAACAGCAAATTCACAAAGCAAGAAACCAAACGAATAATTGCCAAAAAGAAAATATATGCAGATATAATAATTAAATTCAGGATTAATTCAATTAACAAAACAAACCCAATTCAACTGGTTTGCTTACTGTTGGGAAGAACAGCTGCTATTCAAACATGTTGACCAAGGCAAGCAACGTTGACCCGCCTGAAGCTCTATAGAGAGAAGGATGATCGGAGCTCGGATTCCGGAAGACCTTTTTCCGACCAAAAAGATAAGCCGAAAGGCTATGTGGGGATGCTCGAATTATACAGTGGGCGTTGGAGTGAGTGTAGTGAAAAGAAAGAGAGAGAGTGGAAGAGGAGAGAGAATCTGAGTGAGTGAGTCAGTGGGAGAAAGCGACGGAGAAGCGGAGAAATCTAGAGAAAGCTTTTTTTTTTCCTTTCTCTGAAATCCTCGGAATCCGTGTGCTTTTTTGCATGACAGGTCGTTGAGGGCATCGCGGTAAAGGGGCAGTGGTATGTAAATACATGGGGTTCGGGAGGGCGTTTTGGGGACGCAAAGTGTCAATTAACGGCTGTGATCGAATAAAATTAAACTTACCTGAAACAAATTCATCGTTGCCATGATCTTCTGGTCCAGAATAAACTTACGCATACCTTTGTATGATTGAATCAAAATATTACTATGTGCCAGCGTAAACACGTTTCATGTAAGTTATTCTCGGGATGATAGAATGTGAGAAGTGGTTGCGTGGGGTCCACTTTCTGGTGATGAAATTGATGAATTTCTGGAATTTTGTGGCAGGAGTGATGGCAATAAACTCGTGGGGGTTTGTTGGGTGATGAACTCAGCCTCAGCAGAAACAAGAATTCTCGAGTTGTGGAAGCGAGGCGCATTTGGTCAAAGACAATTTTGTCTCCTTGTTTGACTGTTTCTCTGCCCTGTCCCCTGCCGAAAGCCACTGAATCCGGCAGTTATATGGGTTTTATTAGAAAGCCCAAGGCCCGGCCCAACACAAAGCACGACTATTCTACAATAGACGACACTTTTTAGGGAAATGAAAATTGATAGTTTCCAAGGAAAATTTTTGATTTACTATACAAGGGAAATGCTAGTAGATCTTGTTGTACTCTTCTTCATGTACAAGTTATTCTCATTTATTAAATTTCAAGAGAAATATTTGATAATTTCTATTTTTGGAATTTCTCCAACCACATTTCTTTAACATAATTTTCGATTCTCGTTGATAAGTGCAAATAATGTCTCGTTATTTACTTTCTAGTGAAAGATTTGATGATACTTTTTTTCAGAAGCTTTATCATGATTATCTTGATCTTAAATTTATGATGAAATTGTAAATAAAAACAATCATATAGATTTTACAACACATGATTCGTCAAAGATGTTATTTGCTTTCTAGGTGAAATATTTGATGATACATTGTTTTTTTTTTCCAAAAGCTATATTGTGTGATCCTCTAATCTGATGTCAAATTTATGATGAAAAACGCATATAACACCAATGATATAGATTTCACTGCACAAGATTTTCCTATAAGCTCTTTTTACACGCGATTGTATTGTATGTAGGAAATTGGTACAACTTTTAATCCCAAGATTTTCCTAGCCTTATGTGCTAGATTTCATGTTCCCTTTGCATTTTTACAATTGTTCATCCCCTAGTTTATTATTAATGTTGAGAAGGGGAAGCGTGTTGAATCTTAAGGATATGAGATTTCTTGCAAGCAGAGACCATTTATGCTTTTATTTTTATTGTACTTTTATTTATTTTTTTGGAGAAAGATTGTTTTATTCCAACACAATAATTACACAAGAAAAAAAAAAAAAATAGACCTCCAAAGCAACGAAAGAGCCCAAAACAAAGAAAATACTGAAGCAAACCCTAGCAGATGCAAATCGTCGTCACTGGAAAGCCGTTTGTCAACCAACTAAAACGAACGTCCTTAACACACACCTGTAAACAAGTTGAACAGCACCCCAAAACTAGAAGGAAACTGAGCGCCGATAGCCGCCACAAATTAGATGAAGTAACTTGTTAGCAACAAGGCCAACCAAGTGAAACCCAAATCGTAGGAAACCAGTGAGAAAGAGCAACACACTAGCAACAGTGCCATCAAAGGCAATCCCAAGGAAGGTAGTTGATAGGATTTCTACCACTTACAACAGTAGGGATAAAAACACTTAAAAATATTTGCAAGAGGATAAGGTTGTCGTAGTATAGTGACTCAAGCAAGGTCATTGTCCACAGGGATTGAATGAATAATTTGTGTTTAAAACCAACTCTTAATTAATTATTTAAAACAAAGTTTGGAAAATGTTGATTTTAGAATTTAAGATAATAAAAATGAATTTTAAAATAAAACCATTAAATAAATTAACTAGAGAACAATTTAAAGAAAATCAATTTGTAAAAGCGTAGGGTTACGCCGTCAACATAACAATCCTATGCAATTTTACCAATTACTTATGAATTTCTGCATACATATTTTGAAGGTTAGGTTTTCCTAATACATATTTTCCTCGTGATGTTCAAGCGAAAATGTATATCGAACATGCAATCCGTCTATGATGTTCATATTAAATATAAACATGCAAGATTCATTAAGCTTTGTGAAAACCCTTTGGAAAACCATGCAACCCTTAAGAGCGTGACGTTTGCCTTAAGTGAACTTACAATTACTAATCATTAGAAGCCCTTCTCAATTGTCAGGGTGATGTTCCAATAGAAATTACATCAAATTACTTGTCTAAAAACCCTAATGGTCGCGAATCACTAAGACAATTAGATTGTTTAATCGCGGTGATTAATAATTCAAAGCAAACATGCATCCATTCATAAGCAAATTAATAAAATCACATATTCATGCTAGGCTTATGGCTTCGCCCTAGCAAACGGAAATTAGTTATGAACAACTATAAAAATTAAAGAAAATATATTAACTAGAAAAAGGATTGAAAATACCTTGTAGGTAAAAAGTTTGAAGTTCTCCAAAATAATGCGTGCCTTCTCTCCAAAACCCTAATGGCTAAAAAGCCTTATTTATACTACTCCAAATTAAAAGCCTCATAGAAAGGGTTTTCTAAAAACTAGGAAATAAAATAATAAAAGGATAACTAGGAATTATATTCTTATTATGACTACGAAATCTGTCCAACATAGAGATAGCCACGTTTCTGGACCTTCAGGGCTCCAAAACAGGCCCAAAACGACTCAAACCAAAGATTATGACCTTCTCTTCAAGTTCGAAGAGGAGCCCAAGTCCAAAATTCATCATCTTCCAGCCCAAAAGTCGCAAATAAGCTCTGCAGCCCAATCTGCCAGCACTGCATGCTAGGCATAAATTAATTCGCCACAATCAGATGCTTGGGGATAAAATTATGAAATTTGGAGACAACCTTTTTGACAGATTCACGAACCCGTTCCAATTGGAATCACTCAAAAATTCCACTGTTTGATTACTTTATGCTCATAACAAATTTGCGTGTCATACATTAAAAATACATAACAAAACATCAAAATCTCATCAAAATAATAACCAAAATATACCAAGAATAGGGAATAATTTATAGTATAAAATTAACTTATCAGAGGTGGTGTGAACATCCAAGCGATAACTCTACACACCTTATAGGGAAACGTGATAAATCGCGATATAAGTATGTAGAAGCGAATCAGAAAGATGGGGCCGATTGGGATGAAGGAATGGAGTGTCGAGGAAAGTAGAGGGGAAATAGGTGGGAAGAAGATGGAAGGAAACGGAAAAATGAAGAAACGGAAAAAGGAGTAAAAGGGAAAGAAAAAAAGGTGGAAAGAGGAGAAAAGTGAGAAAAAGGGGAGAAAAGGTGAAAGGCAAGTGGAAGGAAAGAAGGAAACAAGAGAAAAAAGGAGCTAACAGAAATCAGGGGCACAGGGGGTTGCATGACGGGCGCTTAGGCCCTTGGAATGGCTGAGGGAGAAGGAAAGTAAATGATGAAAGGGAGAAGACGGTTGTTGGAAAATTTGATGTTTTTATTTAGGGAACTTTAATGAAAAATTTCCAGTACTGTTTATTTTAATAAAAAATTATATTTTTACACTAAAAATTCAATCCTGATACTATTCACTTTACCCTTTATTTTATCCTTATCGTTAAAATTCAAAATTTTCAAATCATTTTCATTAGTTTTCCTCACAGTTTATGCAATATATTTAGCATGTTAAATCTTTGTAATTCTACGAACCCTCTATTGGCAATAATTTGGGCCTTGTGCTTTGGGGCTTTGGATGGGCTTTCCTCGATGGACCTCGTTTCTCATAGTTTTGGTTATTTTGATGATTTGGGCTTAGCCGTATTCTGTTGTTTGTTTTGAGCCGTAGTTCGGTTCGTAAAGCTCATAAACAACTTGACGGCAAGTAATTTGTTCGAAATGTTCATTAGAAAGTGCTTTAAAAATAACTGAAAATGTTTTTTGTGATTTCTTTTTTCTAAAGTCTATCCTCAGTAAAAATTCAAGTAAATTCTGACACTATGTATGTGTTTCTTCCAGGAAGCATTTAAAGTGCTTTTCGAATTCAAAATCAATTCACTAAAAGCGCTTTTAGTAATTTTTAAAGTACTTCCAAACGGATTCGCTAAATTTTAACCAAAAACAAAACTCAAGCCATTGTGTTTGCTTTTCTCCTTTTTAAATTTTTTATCAGCGAGACAACTTATCAATCTAAATACACTTACGTAGCTCGATCTATTTACTCACTCATCATGCCTTGTAATTTTCTTGAGCATTAGTTCCCAGTCAAAGCCAAATTCAACATCAAGTCTTGTATCAATTACAAAACTTAACAAACAGACGAGATTGCCAACACTTTGAACGTTGCAGAAAGCAATATAACAAATTATCAGTTTTTCATGAAAGCGTTGCATTACAACATCATTGAACATTCGAATATTGCAAAATACAATGTCAAACGAGCCCTTCATCGCGTTCACAAGCTCAACTGCACAATGTAACAAAAAGAAAACAGGACAAGAAGAAAAACACGAAGAAGACACCACAAGCACAAAAAACTTGTATTTCCGATGTTTCACCCTTAAGATTAACTATAATGTTTCACCTATTTTCCTGGTTTTTTTTGGTTCCTCGTATCTACAATGAAAGAATTTCTTGTCAATATATGTACATATATATAGATATAGTATTTCCAAGATGCATATAAGTCGTCCATCAACGCACCACCATTCAACATGGAATGGCCAGCTTAATTCTCCAATCTAAAACATGTTAGAGAAGTAGCTCGAAATCTCCAAAAACAAAATAGGCGATCAAGCAAGGAGGAAACAAGCACAAGGTCTGTTTCTTTGCTTTCAGATTTCCATGGAATAGTTGTAACCTACGTCTCCGGATTGCATTGTACCTTCTGTGAATCCCCCCAAACCTAAGTCGGACGGTCCTAGATTGAAGTACCCTTGATCATTTTGGCTGGTATGATTACTCCCCTCCTCTTGCTTCATGAAATCAAAACCGTATTCGTAGTCCAAAGGGGCCTGCTCCATGTGCGGCAGACTCCCGAGCAGCTTGGCGTCTGGAAACTGCAGCTGGTACGACAGATTTGATGGCCCTTCGCTGCTGAGAGTCTCCATGCCCGGCTGACCAACATCAGGTCTCGACACTTGCTCTCGTCCCGAATTGCAAAAGGAAGTATCATCTGAAGGCATCAATAGTTCATTTGCATCAAACATCTCATCCATATCAAACAACTCGCACATTGTGAAGTTCTCAGAACAATCCCCAACAAAACCATCTCCGCCATTCGGATTATGATCCTCAACTCCGTGTTCCGGTTTTACTACGACAGGTTGTTGTTGATTATTGCGAAGATAATCCACGTCAAGGTCCTCACTGACTTCTGGCTTCACCATACCACTGGCTTGCGGGACCGCACCGGACCACGGATACATCCTTGATTCGCCCTCACCATCCTCCTTTTTCACATTAAGGAAAAGCTTGGAATTCTCGTCTCCACAAACCTCAGAGTGACTCGAGGTTGAAGTGGAAGTAGAGCATCCTGGAGTTGCCGCTGCAGAAGACCCTGATGGTGTTGCAACCGAAGAAGTCTCCTGTGAAGACGATGGATGATTATTGACCCCGTGCGGAAGGTTGAGGCGAGCTCCATCTCCATACATGGCCTTTGCAGCCTCATCATAGGCAAGGGCAGCCTCAACGGCAGTGGGAAAAGTACCTAACCAAAGCCTACTTCCCCTGTCCGGCTCCCGAATTTCGGCAACCCACTTGCCCCAAGTCCTTTGCCTCACTCCCCTATAATTGCAACGTGCATTCTCGGGCCCTCCCTTGCCTTTCATACAGCCTTTCTTGGACCCCTTGGCCGGCACTTTACGCTTTTTCCCCTCTTCTTTAGCCGATTCGAGTTGTTTGTTATACTCTTTCCACTTCTCCAGCGTATCAGCGACCGAGTTCCCATCTCGTCTGCTCCGCGTCTTCCTCTTCCTTGAAGAATCCAAGGGCAGATACGGCATGTTAACACCTTGATCATAGGCTCCCATTCCTCTTAGATTACGCACAATCTGCAGTAAACAAGAACCAAATTCCAATTAAGAACTCGGCACAAAAAAATCCACAACCTCGAAAGCAAACAGGTCCCAATCACACAAGTCCCACTCCAAATCACACCGCCTTTTATTAGGGTTTTATATACAGAGAAGTCCCCAAATAAACCAAAACTGAAATGGATTTCTAGCTTTCTTGAGCCCCCAAGTCCGCCGAAAAAACAGCAATTTAGAAAACAGATACGCAATCGTGGTAGATTGGGGAAAAAAGAAAATCCCAAATCCGGAAACCCTAGTTTCAGAAAACCCAATTACTCAACACCCCAAATTTCAATCCCCTATAAAAAAAAAGAACTGGAAACAAACTTCTCCTCCTCCAACAAACTGAAGCTCAAAGGAAACCCAAAATCCAGAAACCTAACAAACACTTAAATCGAGCGAAAAGGAAACGAAATCGAACAGCTCAAAGCTCAACTAACCTCAGAATCTCCCGAGTCGACGATCCCCACTGACAAACTTCCCGATTGACACCGCAGTCTTTGCCTTCCTCGAATCAAAACGACGATTTCAGACGCGATTTAGCGTTTTCCTCCTCCGCTCGACTGCGATTTCTGCGAGTTTGTTCTACTTTTCTTGGCGACTTGTTTTGCGCTTTGCTGCTCTTGAAGCTTCCGAGTTGATCGATTCTAGAATTCTTCTGGATTGCTCGCTGGGACAGATATTTATATCCTTCCTCTAGATATTTCCGATATTTATTTTGTCTGGTGACGTGGCGATTTTCTGGTCGCGTCGTGGCGCTTCGAGGAGGAAACTTACCGGCACGTGTCACCCGAACGTTCGCGAACAAAGCGAGTGACACGTCGCTTTCTTCGTGCCGAAGCAATTCCGCGTCCAATACGACTTTTCTTTCCCAATTTTGTCCGGGCTGAACTTGAAATTTACGATTGTGCCACTGTACGGCTAATGCGTTGCTTGCTTCCTGCGTGCTTCTTCCCTCTTATCCGATGGGAAAAAAAATAATACCTTTGGATTACGATATTTTGTTTCATACACACACATTTTTTACCTGAGCTTAATTGCATCAATAGTTCTTGAGATTTACCTTTATTTTAATTTTAGGTCGTGAATTATATTAATTTTGTTAATCCTTAAACTTAACAATGTACTGCTCTATTAATTTTTCTCATTAACGAATTTTGTGTTTTCGCTGAATGTAGGTGTATATTAGAAACTTTGACTTAAACACTAAAAAAAAAAATGAAAATTTATATATTAATATCTAAAATTTAAGCAAAATGAAACTTGAAATATAGAATACAATATGAAAATGGTTGGACTTTAGTAACTTGCAAATATTAGGCAATGCGATTTTAAAGTTGGTAGGAGATCAAATTGTGGCTGGATTTAAACAACTAACAAATCCCATATTAAACTACGAACTAGAAATTCATATGTATTCAATTTTCGTACAAAATGAAACGTGTTAGTAAAAAAAGAACGACAATACTACATATTGTTTAAGATTAAAACAACTAATACGAGAATTCAAAGACCAAAACTAAACTACAAATAAAGTTAAGAAAAATTGCTACAATTAAGCCTTTTACTTTTTACACATTTAAATTTTATTACTGAACGAATTAAATAACATAAAAACATGAATTGTATAGATAACGCAACCTTCTTTTATGGTTATTACTAAAAGAAGGGAAAAAAAAGCTTGCTATGATGTTTTTAATTTTATCTATTAATTAATTTAACTGGCAAATTGCTGGCCAAGTTCCACTAGAATCTTTAATCAAATACTGTTAAATATATATATTTTTTAGCTTTTAATTTAATTAATTACTGCAGCTTGTTTCTTTCTTTCAAATGACATGTGTTGTTCTTCGACAAATCCATGTGCTGCCATTAAAGGTCATCGAGCAGGCAGAGCCCATTGTTTTGAGTTTTAGTATATCATTCTCACTTCTCACTTAGTATTTAGTTGCTTTATGCTCTTGCATGAACTTACCTTCATATATAATAATTGTTAGAAAGTAATCCTAAAATTATAGAAAATGTTTTTTATAAAAATATTTTTGAAATTAATCTTTAGTAAAAATCAAGTGAATCTTAGATAAGCACATAAAGTGTTTCTTACAAGAAGCATATAAGCGGTGTTTCTTGCATAAAACACTTTAAACACGAGGCAATAGTGTTACATGAAAAAGTATTTCTTTCTAAAAGCGTTTTTTGTCATTTAAAAAAATATTTCCAAACGAGCCAATAGTGTTATATATACTTAGGCTAGGTGTTCTTTAATAAGAAAAGGAAAAAGAAAGAAAAAAAAATCTACATATATATAGGGATGAATTCGTGACACCACTTTTTTTACACAAGTTTTTGTGAGTTATACAAAGATTTGAGATATCATGCTATTCGTGAACTACATAAAGAAGTCTGGCTTTCCTAAGCCTCGATGTGCTATTTGTAATCTTGTCAACCTCAAGGGCTTAACTACGAACACATTTTTTACTGTCACAGGACAAAGCCGAGTCAGTGGGCAATCACATGTCTCCCTCATTTGAACCCGGTCTTATTATTATCAGGGCTACTTAAGGATGAGTACGAGTTTTTACTCACAAAATTTCGCGTCTGTATTTACAAAACTTTATGTTTATAAGCGGAATCGTTCATATTTTTCATCGTTCATATTATTAATTGCTCTATAAAAATTATCTTTACAAAAAATGAATTAAAACTAAAGTTATCAAGTCAATCAATTGTAGTAGACAATTCGTATTGCATTTACCATTCGTTTGACCTATTCTTTATATAATTCGATGACTAAACAATTTTAGTTTAATTGATTTTTGCAAACATGATCTTTGTAGAGTCTGATTAAAAAAAAGTTCTATAAATCAGAAGAATTTTGAGTACGAATTTCTACTCGTGTTTTGAATAGCCAAGTATCATTTTATTATGATGATTGTTATTATCCTGTCTTTCTGGTCGACGTTCAGGACACCGGTCCAGGCTTGCATGCGCACCACGTGTCGCACAATGTATGCAGCAACGTGGCGATTTTAGCTCACTGTGGAAGTGTAGTTTAATTATATCACGCGTGACATGTTCAAATTTGTGTGGTGGAGAATTGAGCACTAAAGGCGATTGGGTCATGGTGTGCGCTGGAGTGTCAACGACAAGATGAGATGGCACCTTGCGCATTCGCTGACGCAGTGGCTTCTCTTTGGATGGCAAATTGAAGGGGGAAAGCAAAAGAAAAATATGTTTAGAACTTTCATGTAATGTAGTCATCACACACTTCACATGCATGGTGGATTGTGACGGAATTCGATTCTTTCCGAGGCAAATTCTCATGATCCTCCTGATCTAATAATACGGACCGTTAAATTTTGATCAAATAACTATAATTATTATAATTTTTAGAGGGACCTTCCTGTTTGTAGCCGTTGAATCAAAATCCAACAACCTTTGTGTTAGTGGGTCAGGAGGATCCCGAGAGTTTAACTTGGAGACGATCCAATTCCAATTCTGACCTTGTTTGGATTGTAATAAATTTGTTTTATAAATAATTGCTTGTCCTGGTGTACTTATTTTCAATTATATTTAATATTTGTTGAGCTACTTTTGTTAATTGTTCGGATGTGTGAAGTATTCTTATTATATTAAATGTTTGGAGATGCTTTTAAAATGATTAAAAACATTTTCGAGGAAATTTTTTGAGTAAATACTAAAAGCGTTTTTGAAAATTCACTTAACTTTTTACTAAGAATGAGTTCCAAAATATTTTCACCAAAAACACTATCAATCATTTTCAAACATTTTCAAACAAGTCATTTAAATAATTTATGTCAATGTTATGCTTTTTTCATTTGTTATATATTTTTGTATACACTTTGAAGAACAAGGCACATGATGTTCTACATAAACTAGCTACATATTTCTTGCTTATTAGTGAAATTTACTGCTCCGTTGAATTTTTTATTTTTAATTTTTTTAACAAATAATATTATCTATACTAAAAGAGATAGGATGGACTAAGCCTTACAAATGAAAAGGAATATCACTAAATCGTAATACTAAGTAGCAGATCATAGTGACCTTAATCACGATATTTGTTGTTCGATTCTCATACCAGAATCAAAAGCAACATGGACCATCAGCAAAAAACTTACACATTGGAAACATCTTATCAACTTGAAACTACCCAAAGTGCAGTATTCTTTTAGCAGAGAATATTCTGACTATACTAAGAGAATACCTCGAAGATTTGGAATCTTATAAGAATTTTGCAACTCGGCAGACTTGAGCATCATGAATTTTGCAACATTAGAAAGGTCTTTTCAACTAACACACAAACTCAATCGCTCTATAGAACACATTGCTCTACGCGAAACCTTCTCACACCCCTGAGAAAAATACTAACTATCGTAACCCTCTCGTCAACACACTTTCAGTTAGATTAACAAGGAGTTGGCAACTGGTGACACATTTAGTTTTGACTAACGCCGCTGGAGCCATAGAATCTGTCGATTGAAAAGTACCTTCAGTTTGGATTAACATCACTACTTCAAACTCGATTGATTACCTATACAAGTCTTAGCCAACAAGGAATTTTTTTTTTCTTTTGCCGTACGAGGTGCTTTGATTCTTTTGCCGAACGAGGCCACCTCATTAGCTTCCCATCAAAGTGAGTGGTTCTATGATCAGTAACTCCCATGTGTACTTCAGAGATCGGCATTCAGATGACCAAACAACATTTACCATAAAGAAACTTATGTCCTTTGTGTATCTTTGTCCCTACAATCTAATTCCGATTCGTTGAACCTATATTTTCACAAATATAGTTGAGGCTGTCGAACCTATTGCAGAATATCCTTAACTCAATGATGAATTGACTAACCTTGTCTTCAAGTTCTAGAACCTTAGGCTGAGAGCGTTTTTATTCCTCTGCCGTATTGCTCAATGCGTAAGTCGGCAAGCATTCGACATCACACCATCACATATATTTTACTTTCCCAACCAAGCTCGGTTGCAAGTTCACACGCCCGCATCCACAAAAATGATGTAATTAGCTCAATAATTGCTCGGCATGCACGCCATGTAGGCGTTGTAATTCCTAAAGTCAACAATATGTGTGTCCTAATTTAAAAAAATGTGCCACCTTTCTTTATATGAAATGAAACTTTTATTGATAACAGTTCAAGATTGTTTCTGTACATTGAGCACAAGAAAAATAAAATCCAGCTCATCAATAAACTAAATTCTAAATACTATCTTTAGCTATAAGCTGAAATTAATCAGCTACGTATAACTTGGCCAACTAGTTTTTCCTGGAGCGTTTGACTTTGAGAATATTTGTCCTTCGTATACATATATAGTCGCTACCTCATCATCTTGCGCTGATTAAAGGACAATTCTACCCTTTACGACGACTCTTTCAGCATAAGAGGACATAAAACAAGGATCACTAAATTACCTGTTCTTGCCTTCTTATGTAAACAACTCATCTGTGCTAAATTCCAATTTATAATACATATTGAGCTTCTCAACCCCGTTTCACATGTCCAACCGCCGGGGACGGCGGTTATCTTACCAAGTCACTTCGTTCTTCTCGGAAAATTTAATAGGGTTTGAACTTCAGATTACGACCGAAACCATGGACAAGATCAAGTTAATAGATACAGGAACGATAACCTCAAA